TTACATACGAATTGAAACTACATTATTTTTTAGGAAAACGAAACTATTGATGAATTGACTGACAGTCAATCATAGAAAGTGAATTTTTGTACGTGTACTCAAAAATCGGTTATCAAAGAAACCGAGAAAAAAATTATCTTCCTGTGACCAGCTGTAGGAAAAATCCCCGAGATATCTGATAGTTACAGGAAAAAGGAACAAATCTTGAGGAGTAAAATTTTCAAGCGAGATATTTCTGTTTCAACTAATTAGATTAGAACTGGGAGAATAAAAATGTACTATTTAAGTTATTAAAATTTAATTTATACCTAAAATGTTTGGTTGAAAATGAACCCCTAAATACAGCTTAACAAGAACTGTTTACCGAGGGGAATATATAAGTTTTCATACTTTATGAGTAATTTTTTTGATCGAGTTTTGTTCTCTAAGATGGATGGTTTGGTCGTGGAGCTTTCATATTTATTCTGAACGAAATCATCAGAACAAACTTCGGGTAGACGTGAGGTGTTTTTGCTGATGATGTCGTTCAGAATAACGATGAGATCTTTACGGCCAAACCATCTAGCTCAGAGAACAAAGCTCCATCAAAATCATCCACCTGAGCTACAAATCTTCCCCACCATCTCATTTAATGAGTAAGCTAAAACGCCGAGTTACAGTATAGATGCCTAACTGTGAAAGAGAATATAACCTGTTAAACTTGAAAAAGTTTAAATACACAAAAGAAGTAAATGAGAATGACATCAACAAATGACTCAGCCGGAGGGAAGTTTTAGCTAAGAATTTATTGTAATGAATATGCTGGAATTCCATTCAAATGGTTTGATCTAAAAGTTAAACCGATGCACTAGACAGGCCACTGAATAATGGCTGTACTGAGCTGTAAAATGAATAAAGGTGAGAATTGTGAACTGTTAAATTTTAATTTAGTTGCTGAAAGATATCGTGCTCCCCATATGACCTGAAAGTCTTAAGGTTACACTCCATAGATATGAGCCGGTTGATCAGCTCTAAATGAACTTCCATTTACGCAAATAGTAATAAAAAAAGAGATAACAGAGCTAGCCGATAAAACGGAAAATGATTCCCAACCAAAAGGTCTCATATTATTTAGTCAAGGCAGTGACTAGAAACATTAATCATGACTGTAGAAAGTGGAAAGATTTATTCCGTAGTTGATATATCAGTGACAACAACAGGAAACATCTCCCAGTAAATAAATTTAACCTAGGAATTAATGAACAGAGATGGTGGCTGTACAAAATAAAGTACTAGAAGATTAATCCATTAAGAATTTATGTGCAGTTTCTGCAAAACTCAGAAAAGCATTACGTTATATTTATTCCAGTAAAGCCAATTTGCCTTGTCAAAAAAGGAGTGAGTAAGCCCAAAACAAAATGGATGGGATAAAATATCCGGAAAAATTTACTTTACGGCTAATGATAGATTGTTCTGTATATGATATGGTAAGGAAATGTGAGCCTGATTGTAAGGCCTCAAATCTACTGGTCAGGAAATGATCCACAAAATTTGAATCTAATAATCATTCACGTTTCAAATGAATTTGTTTTGCGTAAAATAGTTTGACATAAGTATGCAATCTTGTTATCTAAGGCAACTCATATTTTAAAAAATATCACGATCTGATCTAAGTTAGTCACTTATTGAAAACTAATAAGAACCAGGTAGTTGTTTCGTCCTAGTATAAAACCTGAAGGTCTTAGGCCCCATCCCCGGCAAAGTTGTGTATGGGCACTGCTGAGAGGTTCCATGCAATGATCTGCACAAAGTTTTATACTAATAACTCATATTATTCTGACCACCGAATTTTGCTTCTAATATTCCTTTACTTTTGGTAGAGCATTAATAATTTCTATGTAGGTCCTTGTAATTATCAGTCAATCAATATTTTAAATCCATTTACTAAATAGTAGTTAAATCATATTCTTAATATCATCATTCATATACGATTTTCATTGGGTAGAAGTTTTTAATTTATCTGTCTAAAATTCAAACTCAATCTTTAGACGAAAGGGAAATATTTCATCTTAAAAGGATTGATTGAAGATAAGATTTACAACCCTCTAGAATAAAATGAAATACATCATATGAGAATATTATTAGGAATTCCACATTTCAAAAACATTTATAAACCCACACATGTGTGACATATTGTTATCTAAGATTTATACTGACAAAGCTATTTCCTCTTCAACTAGTAGGGTTGATAGATTAAACATATTGACAAAAACACCTACATTCAACTATGCTATTATTTACATGTGTTACTTACTTTCATTGGGTTGAATAAATAATTAGGATGAAACAAGCTTCAAGTAAATATAATCTGACATTTTATAATGATATTTATTTCAGTTTGTTTATAACGGATCATTTTCGAGCTTTTTAGTAGTTACAAGGTTTGGTGCAATATTCAAAGATTTTGTGAGAATTTCGATATTAGGACTTGACACTATAGATTTAACAATGCCATTACAGTTCGAAAATGAGGATGGAGGAAGTGACAGAATTAAATAAGTTAACGTGAAGATGAAGATATTAAATGACTTTAAACAAAAAAATCATAGAATGATTTGAAAATATTAGAAAAACATTCAAATCACTCACAATCTTTAAGTCATACTGTGGTGTGTGCTATTGATGTCGACAGATATAAGTAGTATGTATCATCAATCGAAAGTGAAATGCCTGGCGACAGAAGGTCAAGAAGGTCAGATAAATGAGAACGAGAACAGAGAATGATTGATGTGAAAAAGGAAAAGAAACAATCAAGTCTGAGTCAATTGATTGCAAACGAAGTATATACTGTATGGTTCTCAGATTTTACTGAGAAATTTTGTAATTTTGTGTTCAGATACATTCGACTGTTCTCACTTGTGTTCTCGTTCACTACAATACAACTTTATTTTAACACAGGCTTTCTTGCAAAATGATTTATATAAGCTGTGGTCAGCTTTATATTTGTTCAAAACTTATTTCAAAATGTTGCTAGCCATAAATGAAATGGAACTAGTTAAATTATAGATCATTTTTGACTATCGTTATTTACCTAACATTTTCTTAATTATCATATCAATAGGAAAACATTAATCTGTCCCCATTTTTATACACAAATAAATTATTGACTGTTTACAAATTGTTTTTAATCTTTGTGTAAATAAACACGGTACAGTTTTAGCTATAAGGCAGCTAAATTCTCTGCTAGTTTTCTCTACTTCTGACTTCTTCAAGTTATCGGTAGATTGATTATGTCACAATTTTTCAACCTTGAATAGTTCATTTTTGAAATAATTTTATCAATATTTTCTTACTTAACAATAGCTATGTTGAACAATATCATTAATCAGTCAGTCAACCAGCTACAATGTAAGACCAGGTACATATATGCATCAGTCCAAGTTGCCACACCTTTATAGTACAACGAGATGAACACCAAATTTACAGAAGCAGTTACTTCAATGGTAATAATATATAAACAAAAGACTGCGTATAAATATATCATTCATAGAAAATTTTCAATTATCATCATTAAGTTTCATTAGTGTAAACATGAACTAAAACCAGAAGAGCTCTAGTTTACAGTTTAATAATCACCCTGAATCTTTGACTCTTCTAAGAATAAATATATATCTCGGAATAATCACTATATACACATGATTGTTGTTCTGCTCAATAAAAAAAAAACTTTTTCAATTTTGACCACTTAATGTTATTTTATGACTATTTCACAATATGATTAACGAATGTCAAACATCATTTCATCTAATTAAATTGTTGCATTACACTAAAACCTTCATAGAAATCATCAATAGTCAGAAATATTGAAAAATGTAAATACTAAATTAATTTGAACAAAATTTAATATCACTAACTGATATTGGTTAAATATTTCTGAGCTTTTCAGGAATTGACCATGTATTTTAATTAAACTTTAATCAAACCCAATGTCTTCTTAGTTTGTTTTATTCAAATCATTATTGAGATATAATTTAAATTGACTTATGAACAGATAACAACTAGATAAAAGGTGCGAAATAAATGAAAAGTGCACAAAGTCAATGAATAATTGAACATTATCTAAGGATAAAACACCCCTCAATTATTTATAGATAATATGATGTTTACTTGTTTATTCATTTATTTATTTAATTTTATTTATAGTTTTAACTGTCGCTCAATTAGTTTGTTAGTTGGTTATATATGCGTCAAACACATTTAGATTGAACTTATTAAAATGAAACAAAGTCAAATAGAATAATGAAAAGAGATTAGTGTTGACAGTTGCTTTGGAAATTATTCATTATTTCTTCATTTTTTTTTCTATCAGTTCATTTTTCTAGTCCATTTGGTGTGTTCCATTCTGTATCTAAGCTTGTGTCGTCTTTGTGTATTTTTATAAACAGTTACAAAGAATAAACAAAATATCAATAAATGAGGATGTTCAGGATGAATAGACTATGCTACATTTTTATATTTAGAGAAGAAAATGTTCCGGAAAAATGTCAATAGTTTCAACTACACAAATAATGTTTACATTAGACAACATAAAAGTTACATATCATGCCATAAAGGTGGTCCATTTAATATTAATTCACTAAATATCATCCAACTTTAATGTGCATATACGTTAATCATACCAGTGGGTTATCAAAACAAATATACACTGGATGGTTTTGAATAAATAACTAATTGATTAACGAACAAGATTTCAAGATACTGATATAAATATCTCAGAAATATCATCTTTAATGAAATCGCAAGTTTAGATTGAACTTTATGGTACATAACTCCATTAAAGTAATCAATATGAGTTCAAAGTGATTTTTCACTACTGATATTTTAAAAAATACACATTTGGGTATCTAAAAACCAATCCAATCACCTATACTGAATTCAATAAAGAGTTATGCATCTTATAAAATGAAATTAGATAATAATATGAGAATAAAATCATAGAGTATGCAAACTGTCTAACTTACTTCTAATGGGAAATTGATTCCTGTTGAAAATCTACATGGCTGTAGATTGGTTTCGTTGTTATCTTATCATATAAAAATAAAAATTTACAATTAAATAAATAGCTAAGATTATATTACTTACAAACGCAGTCTACGGTAGTATACTTGGCTAAGTGCATGACAGATATAACTACTTTTAAGTATTTTTGATAGAATTAAGTGATTTTACTTAGTTTAGACCTCAGAAATCAACCAGATGGGATGTTTATGACTATTTTGCTTGGCTTTCAACGTTTATACCCAACCCAGTCCGAATTTAACATATGTAATAGTTGGATTGTAGCAATAAAGATGTATTAATCAGCTTAAAATAATAGTAAGTCTTCGGTAGCATGAAATAAGCGCAATCGACCAAAATCATCAAACTTTGATTGTTTACTTACCTGCATATAAATGAAAAATCACTCATTACATTTAGGTATCTGGAGCATCTTTTCATACTGTAGTGGATTCTACCCGATACTTAGAGTAAATACGTTACAAAAAGTTAAAATTAGATTGAAACTAATTCCTGTAGCAAAAGATTGATCATACTTTGGTTACTACTGCTAATTTTATCAATTATTACGTTTCAACTAGACTACCGATCACCCATAACTCATTTCCAATGTCTTATTTAGATTCATTTATTATGCTTGGTATAAAACGGCACTAAGAAATCAAAGTAAAATGTGAATTCTGCGAATATATACCAAGAAGGAAATCCTAACCAATAAATAATAGTGAAAAACAAGAATAACGCACATGAAACAACGAAATTCGAATAGAGGGACAACTATGATGGATTTCATTTTTGAGTTCACTCCTAGCTCCCAGAGAGGGTAAATAATGCAGGGTGCGGCGGGTAACTAGGAAGATATGAATGAAAAAATTATCAAGCCACTGGAACTATCGTTTTGAATATGTTTGAATACTTGATACCGGGTCTTGGTAAGGTGTTGATGATGCAGATATGGGTTGTATAATATGTTTTTAAACGTATAAAGTGTGCATAAACTTACGCCCTGGAATAATTCTGACCGGAAACAGATGAATTGTTTATTAAAAACACTTTGTTCAAACACATACTAAGTAGAATATAGAGGTAAGATTTTAATGCTATTAAGTCGTTTGAACTGGCTGAAAAGCATCCACCTGAGTTGCAAGTTTTCTCTTTACTGGCAAAGGGTAAGACTAAAACAACTCTGGGGTTCATAATATAAGAGGAACTATTCACGAATACTTAGAAATAAAGATGCTGGTAAAGTAATAAATCATAGAAAGAAGTCTAATGTATGAAAACATTTGCTATACATTATTTTATGCAAATGGACAATTTGACTTTCGATCAAGAGATAGTAGTAATAATAATAATAATAATAGTGGTAGTTAACAGTTTCAAACAAAGTTAAATGTTGGTACTGGTCGCAGTACCTAACCAGAATTGATCATGTGTTCGAGAAATGATCTATTAATTGACTATCATTCACTTTTAGATAGTCAAACAGATTAGTGTCTAGATAAAAGTTTGGAATGTGAACTGTTTGTGCAGTCCGTATAAACCCGATTTGACGAAAGTGAATAAATCAATCATTTTCACATAAAATTAATAATATGCGTTTAAAACCAATTTATACAAATAACAGAAACATTAATTATATTTTGATAAAATCATTCAATTTACTCACCACTTTGTTCCTAGTGGGAGAAAAAAGATACAAATAATACTAAAACTGATCAAAAATACAAATAAATTGAATTCAGTTACTTTAATGTAGATACGTTTCAATATGAAGTGACGTCAGCAAGAGAGAAATTAAACATTGTGGAGCACTGGAAATTTGTTTCGTTACAGTTTAGAACTTCGTAACTTCGCAACACAGTGTGAGATTAACTTGCAGAAATTATAGTGTAAAGCCTTTCATTTTTGGAGTCAATAAATTAGTAAGTAACTCATCGAATCACCGGACATTATGAATGGATCGCTTTATATCGTAAGTCGACCAGAGTGAAAAAAAACTGAATCCTCAAGCTTCGAGTGACTTAGAGAAAACCTTGAAGATCTTTGGTTCAGTCCCTACTCACGGTTGCAGATATATCTTGATAAATAGTCTGAAGCAAGGATGGCGAGACTATAATTTATGGACTAACCAATCACATTTGGGATAGTAGGTCTTGGATTTGGGCGCGAAATTCATCCACCCATTTGTCTAAATAGTGTTTTGTCATTTAGCTCTTGCCGATTCGTGATGAAAACCCTAAATATAATTTCCAACCTTATGCATCAACAGTAAATTATAACCATAATTCCTAATATCGGTTTATAACCTCATTTAGCCCTAGTAAGTAGGTCAATTTAGGGGCACTTTAGCGTCGCTCAAAGGTCGTCCGTAAATTATAGCCTCACAACAAGGGCATAACTCTCAGTAGTCTTTAGTTACCATTGGTTCTCGATTAGTCCTGTAACATTATTTTTAAAGTAGGTAAAATAATACATACGCACGAACCAACTAAATCAGATATATTAAACTAGAATTATTCAACGAAACAATCTGTAACAAATCAATTGAACTATTCTGTAATATTTAATTCATATATTGGGTAGTTATTCTCATTGACTATCTCATCATCACAGTCATCATAATTGTGATATGAAGTAAAAGATTAAATCTGTAATATGTGTTCGCTTCCTTTATTCTATCCACATTGAAGCATTTGCAAATGAATGTAACGAATGAAATATTAACAAATAAACTAAAATATTTAGGAAGTGTAATATAATTCATACATCTGCTTATAAAATTAGTCAGAATATACACTTTGTATCATGTTTAGATATAAAAATGACCTTTAGGAAACAATAATAAGTGACAACAAATTACAAAATAAGAGGTGATCTTGTTATTGTCACAATTTTATCTGTAAAACGTTTATCACAGAAAGAAAACAAAAATTTCCTCTGCAATTATTTTATAGAAAAACAACTAACACTTTTCTCAATAGAGCATAGAAAATTGTGAATAATGAATAAAATTAGCTACTTGACCTTTAAAACCTTATTTCAACGTTTTAGTGGTTTCTAACTTATTTTTAGATAAGTTATAGACCGAGATGCAGTTTTCTGATTATGCTATAAATAACCTTAGAAAACTAAGATAAGTTCATAATTTATAACACGGACTGATACAACTTAGACAACTACTGAAAACCAAGAATTACTGGACGGCTTTTTCGTCCTAGTATGAGACTACTTAGGAGTACAAACTCACGACCCTATTGGGGAATGGAACCTAGGAACTTCAAAATTGTCGACAACCCCTTGACCTATAGAGCACTAAGCCAACATCCAACATTCTACATGTCTGCTATCACAGATTCTTCTAGTAAAGCTTTAAACTGAGACCCTTTTGCGATTTATACCATTTTTAATACAAGTATATGTAGTCCTAACTGTCTCAAGACTCGAAAAGTCCATTTAAATATCCTGTAAACTAGAATGAGTAATGGTGCAAAACTATCTGGAATATATACGTTGTAACTTAGATTAAACTTTACTTACCATAAATTCTGAGAAAGCACTCGATGGTGACGTTCTACTTGGCCTATGAATTGATTCACGATGCAACGCTGAACATAAGTAGTCGTTTGTTTTATTTAAACGTTCCATTGTTGTTCTGGATTGACAATAAAATAACACATTAGACAATGACAAAATTCCTACTTTTTGGTTGAGTGTAGAACCAGTTATTAAACAGTCAACAAGAAACCATGGAGTCTTTAAAACCTAGTTTTCCCCATTCTGGAATTCATCAGTAGTTCATAGTTAATAATTATAACTCGTAGGTTCCATTCGGATAATACTGACTTTCCGTTTACTGTGATAAACACCTTTCAACAAAGTATATAGTGTTTCCAACTGATAAGCCAAAAATAGGTCTTAAAAAATTGAAGATTTAAACAGGACTTCTTGGTCAACTTAATAGCTGACGACTTTTAGTTTATCTGACATGTAATACGTTTCAATGATAGCAAATATAACACAAAACAACTAAGTGCCATATTCAATGTTTAGATTTTTCTATTAACCAGGCAACTGAAATAAATATTTCAAAGTGAATGGAGGACTATTCAGTCAAAGTTTGATGCAAGTATATTGATTTTTAAACAAGTATCAGGATTTAGATTGGTAAGACCACTTATATCTTTTTCCTACAGTCACAGGAATAGAAAAACACACAATCAACAAGGATTTTTCAATATCTAACATTTTCTATTATTACTGATACCGTTACTACTCCTACTAATCTGGGATTTGTCTTAAAAAAATGTTATGTCTATGTGCTAACGTGGTGTGCCAACCTGAAGAAATGCACATGTGAGTCAGGTTCTATGTTGCGTATAACTGACTGAACAATATGATAGGTAGGACAAGAGAAATGATAATATCAACTTGCATAGAAAATTAAATATACATGAAACATGTTTCAAAAGAAACAAATGAAACTGAGAAATGAATGTTATGAAATCATACTAAACTGAAGACTTAGAGGAAGAAAAAGAATATAATTGAGACTACTTTTCAGTCATGATGCTTAAAGCTTCCAAATAAAAATTATGACTTTAACAGATTTCAACTAGAACGTTTAAGTCTACCCAAACACTTTGGATCACAAATAAGTACTTCATGGACTGAAGCCATATATTTGTATAATAACTTTTAGTCTTTTATAACTCCCTAAAGTTTTGACCAGAGTAGAACGTTAGAGTAGGAAAATGACAAAGTGTTTGTAAAATAAACCACTATAACTTAAGTGTATGAAGGTATACAGCCTACACGACAGATTTTCCATTTATACCATAAAACTCCACCTTAACCTCTGCATTACTGAACTAGTATTTCTAACACATCCAAGTAATCTTTTAGGTATACCTATTGCTGAATACTAGCTATCTAAGAACGTTTTCAACCCTCAAAGGCCATTTTACACAATCATTTAGTAGTTCATCATCATCTTAACAAAACAGATTTACATTGTCTACTAAGCAGAAGTTGGTTATTGAGTCTCTAGGCGGGAGATCAGTAATTGGAAACCCAAACAATGAGAACACTAATTAATAAGTCCAGTTTCTGGAATCTGGCTAGACCTCTGACACTAAACCAGAACGCCGGACCATCAATCTCAAGCACCTCATCCAGTATCTCGTTATTTTTATAGTAATGGTTATGTATAAGAGAGACGATGAATTTAATTAAGAAGAGTTAACAACACAAACAGAGGGAAATTCAGGTAATCAATGACTAGATACTATTTATATGGACATTTTAGAACATTAAAAACGGACACGGATTATTCATCTTATGAATAATTTATTGACTGTTCCATAAGCTCTTGATTTATGAGATCAATTTAGTTATTCATTGGGACTTATAATTCAATGCTATACACTTATCTTCTTGAATTTACTTAAGATAAACCATAAACACTTAAGCCATATATATTAAGATATTTTTGGCACTGTTTGCTTATTCATTTTATCAATTACTATACTTTAGAATACGTTTTTTATTTGACTAACAAGACTATAAATCTCCATTAATTTAACATCCATTGGAAACAAAAAGTTACATACATAGAATTACATTTATTTGATCATCGACAAAAATAATGAAAGTTACCGCATAACATTTAATTGAGAATATAGATTTTGTTTCTCTTCTTCTTGACTAATTAATTCATGTTTATCCCTTGAAATAATAGAAAAAACATGAATAAAATTTTCAGATTAATCTTTATTATGAAATAATATCGAATCATTATACATTTATTTATTCTAATTTTAGATTTCTTTGCACTACCTTCATTTCACATCTAAATGAAAGTTAGATGTTTAATTATCATAATTCGTTGTGTAGTCTACAGAATTAAAGTACCAAAACTTCGGTACCTAGATGTTGATTGACTTTAATCAAATACCCAATTAATTATCAACTTCATACATATCATTATGTAAGACTTAATTTTTTTCTGGGTATTTAACACTCGAAGGTACACATATATCTGTATATAAGTATGAAACATTACAATCCATTTAAATAAACCTATGGAATAATAAATAAATTAATATATTTCTAATATCCTAATGAGTAGAAAAATTAAATTTTCTCTGAAGAAGTGACTTACATTGAGTCAGGAAATGTCAGAATCTAATCTAATTTTTTCTACTCATTGAGTTATTATAAAAATATTAAATAATTTATAATAATCTAGCCAATGCTTAATTTATTTGAAATTATCAAGTTAAACTTTGGTAATGATATCTACTATATAATAATAAATTACAATGGTTAAGATCATGAGTCAGTTGAAGCTAGACCATTGAAATTACTATAATATTCACAAAACCCATCTGATATTAATCAACATATGCTTACTAGTGACTGGCTTCAAGTGGTATTTCCTAGAGTTCTAGTGAGAAGCCGTGACCAGTGGAGTTCAACCGGGTCTATTGTGAGATAGTAACTCACTGATGACAATGGTGGATGTGTCGCTCAATTTCGTGGATTAGTTGAAGTTAGTCATTAACACCGTTGGATGCCGGCTCAGTGGTCTAGTGGTTAAGTGCTCGCGCGCGAAACCAGTAGATCCTGGGTTCAAATCTCCCAGAGGGCGAGGTCGTGGATGCTCACTGCTAAGGAATCCCACAATAGGGCGAAACGGCCGTCTAGTGCTTCCAGGTTTTCCACGGTGGTCTAGCTTCAACTCACTCATGATCTTAACCATTGAAATTACTATAATACCTACAAAACCCATCTGATAATAATAAGTTCATTGAAATACGTATTTGAAAAGAAAACAGATACAAAATATAAATGATGATTACATTGTTAATTGTGTTTCTTGTTGAATTAATTGATCTTTTAATGTTTTCAATTCAAATTCTCTTTGAGCTAGAATTGATAAGACATTTTGTAATTCAATTTTATATGAATTTTGTTCTATCGTTTCATTTTGATTAAGATATTCATAAGGTAAAGAAGAAATTAAAGAAGAATTTGATTTATCAAATGAATCAGTAAATTTTTTCAATATAATAGGACTATTCATTGAATCACAACAATTAGAAGAATGATTTTTAATTTTCTATATAAATAAATATAAAATAAAACAAAAATATCAAGCGGGAATAAGTTTATTTTTTAAAAAAAATCTCGTAAATTATTAAACATATTCAATGAACTGGTAACTAGATTCATTCTACATATTATATCCATTCAATGAATACTGAATCAAAGGGGAATCACTTGAATATATTTATATTCAGAATAAATTAAACTAAGAGAGATTGAGAAGGATATATTTTTTATAAAAAAAAACATTCCCTTTGTAGACTAAATTAAAATTTCATATTATATTAAAATACATTAAATTTGTTCTGATTCCTACCTAGAAACTGAATCATGGGATATTCGTTAAGATTATCCTAATAAGTCAGTCCTTAAATCAGAATTTATGTCATCAATCAACTTAATGTTGATTGATTTATTAAAATGCAAAAATTATCCAGTATATACAAAATAATTAACAATATTCTGAAATATTAAATGAAATTAGAAGCTTGAAACTCTTAACCTATCTCTAGAAAAAATATATCATTAGTATGGGATTGTGGAGATTATTAAGTTTTGATTGAGATAATTACCATATGCTCACTAATGACTAGCTACGTGAGGGAAATCTTGGAGTTCTAGTGTGAAACCGTGACCAGTGGAGCTAATCCATGTTGGGTAGAGACAGGTATCTACCTCAGTACAATGGAGGATGGTCGCGCAATTTCGTGGATTGGTTGGGGTTAGACATTAACACCGCTGGATGCCAGCTCAGTGGTCTAGAGGTTAAGCATTCGCGCGCGAGACTGAAGGCCTTGGGTTCAAATCCTGCGAGCAGAACCGTAGATGCGCACTGCTTAGGAGTCCTGCACTAGGATGAAATGACTGTCCAGTGCTTCTAGATTTCCAATGGTGGTCTAAAATCAATCGGTTCATGATCTCAATCAAAAAAATCATTTGGTATCCACAACTGTTAGATTCATTACCGATCAAACGATAATCCATGAAGATGAAACAAAACGTGATTTTAAACTGTATTCAAAATAGCAGATTATAGATAACCGATATAAAGTTATGTAAAGTGAATTAAAAGAGGTTTACTAACACTGAAACTAGAATAACTATAAAGTAAAAAAGGTCTGCTAAGTTTAACATTTGTACTACATACCCCATATATTAAGAAAAACTTTTATAGATACAAACAATTCAGTGTACAATAATTAAAGCTCAGATAAGTTAATAATAGTCAATTATGAATATTCAAACATCACTGAATGTTAGTATGCGATGTATGCCACTTATGTTGACAGATATAAGTAACATGTAGCACCATTCGAAAGTAGAATGTCTGTGAGCAGAAGGTTGAGAAGACTGAAATGTAGAGATGAGAGAAGGAAACAGAAAGCAATTTAAATAACAACAGGAACTAAGGAACAATGAAGCTTGCAGGAGACAATTCGAAGATATGCAAATGATGTATTTGACGCATGATTTTCACACTTTACCAAGCCACTGTATGATTGTGCATTAAACAATAAATTGTTTTTCCCCACCAAGTCTTCCTTCACTACAAATAAACCACTTGAGGCAAAAATCGGTTAGAAAGCTCTTCTATAAATCAACAATAAGAAATAAACTCCAGTAATTTAAGATTTTAATTCTATCAAATTCAAGCTGAAACGAATTCAAATGCAATATTACAATAATTAATAATTATTACTATTACGGATAATACTCGTACACGTTGTAAACTTTCAACCTGTTCCCGTATTTCTGTGATTTCTTGTTCTTTGTTAGAGACCAGTGTTCTATACTCACTTTGTAACTTTTCATGTACCTAAAAAACACCGTACAGTAAAACGATGTAAAACAAATCTATTTAAAACAATGATATATATATATATACATAGAATAAATTGTTTGGAAATTATCTTTCCACTACGAAGCAATATTTATCATGGAATAAATATAAGTAGAAAGCCAATAGTAGACTGATCCACTTTTAAAAAGATAATGAAATAAATTGGAGTATTCTATGTTCACTTGAAAATTGAACTGGCAAACTGTAATAGAAACACGAGATAACTTACAAGAATTTTGCAACAGCTATTACATTGATTATCAACGTATCGTTGAAAAATGTCATAGATTTCAATACACATCACATTGGTATTTATTCGAATTGTTTTATTATTGTTGTTATATATATAAATTGATTGTAGGAAATCCGCCATAATGTCCATAAGTTGTCATTTCACGTACATTAAATCACGGAAATTCAACGTGGTTTACTTTTGTACTTCTATCTTGACTACTTACTAGTAGTTAACACAATATCTGGTGTTATTATTGTCTACTGATTTAAATTTTTATAAAGAAATTTCTACTGAATATTGTGGCTGATATCAGGAATCTGTTCATGTACATTGAGAGATTACTAAACTATCACAGAATAGGAAATACTAACTTAAATCTAACCACATTTCACTATCCAAGAATAAATTGTTTTTCTAATATAGTTGATTTTCGAATCCTAGCATAAGCAATAATAATGATAATTCAAATAGGATTTTCTTTATAAAGTTTTTGTCATCCATTTTCTATGTAGTTCTTACAATAAATAATTGTAAATATTAGTTTGAAGCGTACAGACATGAAAACTAACGAGCACTAGTAAGTGATTGTATAATAAGAAGCTTACTTCCGATTTGGCACGTTCCTCTATTGATTTAATCTGTAATTCAAGTTCACCTTCTAATCTAGATAAATCACTTTTACGTTTTTCCTTCTCTCTGTCATGATCACATAGAAAAATAAACAAAAATAATAATAAGTATGTAAACATTTTGTTTTTGGTTGAGAATAAAATAATAAATTTAATAAATGAAAGACTAATATGGTGTTTCAAATTTTTTAGAGAATTAAGATTAACAATGTTTCAAAATCAAGGTAAACTAACTAGTACTAAACAATCGGTTCTTCTTTATGATTTATACTAGCACTCGAAATCAATCTAATACACAATCACACTTTATAAATCTATGAAGGTCACATCTTGAAAGGATGGAGATTTTACTAAGCCATAATATTTGAATTCAGTAAATAACAAATTCCAGTTACAATTGATTTTAAAGATGAAGGAACTGTCAACGCGAGCACATTTCCTCACGCTTTAATTCAAGATCTTCATAGATTATTATATTGTATCAGAAATTCTAGACATTTAAATCAAATTGAGTCACTAGTAAACATTAAATTCACTCTAATAAGAAATCAATCACAATCCTCGACAATACGTGATTTAGCGCTTTATGATATCAGTAGTACTCAATAAGTAGGATTAAAGAACAATCCCTTTTTCCCGTTTTTCACTGATGTCTATGTCCGTGGTCTAAGCTTATTTAAACTATTCACTTTGATAAGCACTTTCATTATGTCTTGCCATCAGAGCATATAAGAGTTTGGTCGTCATTGAGCTATGTGGCCTAAGACCATATAGTTTTACTTTTAATATGAAACAAATTAAGTAAATTCATAAAATATTATAGACCTTGATGGTATTCATTGATGAAGAACATTTTAAATATCTTCAGTTATAGTAAATAATAACTATGATTTGGATTTAAGATGAATTGTACACTTTCCCATCATCACAGTAATATATTACTGACAAATACTTTCCAAAACGATTTTTAGGTCTTCTTATCTGGGTTAACATTCAAGAAGAACAAATTCATACGCATATATACACACATGGCAGATAAATTGAAATATTATGTATAAACCAGTTATTTAAGAAAATGAAGCTTAAGAATCATGTTTTTTATCAAATTAAACCGTTACCGATCTATACTAGAAATTTGACAGAAGTATTAAACATATTACTTAAAAACAATAGTTACTTTTTCCCAAATGACAATGCTAACTAGATGAACAACCGTGAGGTGCCAGAATAATTAACGTTAATATGGAGGATATTACTTCTATTTTTTTTAAAGTGATTTATTACAAGAAAACAAGAATAAACAATATTCTCATATTCAAAACAGAACATAAATGTAAACTCCTGAAATATTTTTTTATGATCAGAAAAGGTATAGAAAACGTGACAGGAATTACAATAAAGAGTAATAAATGTAACATATTAAAAATTAATAATATAATTCGGAAATGTTTGACAGTTTAATAGAATAAATTTATCAAATTTTTCCTATTGAAGATTAGATATACAAGATACAAATAGACAGTTGGATAGGAAACAAAAAGACAACTAACCATTTGTCATTGTCATTTATTAAACTAAAAATGAGTAATAAATATAAAGGTTACACCTGTTATAAACTAATGTCAGTAGAATAACAAACTATTATTTTAAAATTAGTGAGCAGTTACTATACCGTCACGATTACATAATGTTTTAAATTCTATAATATTCAGTTATCAGTGACAAAAAAAACTTTTTGAAATTTGGTTAAAAGTTCAAATGAAACAATATGTTTTTAATAAAGCCTATCAATTTGGTCTATACCACTTGTAGTACAACCTGTATCATTTAATTTATTAGAACATTAAACCATAATTAGAAAGTTGTATTCGTGTCAAGTGATCAACTTATTGATAAGCATATAAGTATCGTTATCATTAATAGACGTACACTTATCCAGAAATATATCTTACTGTTTAAAATTCATTTTTTCTAATATATGATAACTTTATGTGGTATCTTGAAGTAGCTATGAGAAATATATAATTATGTTTGTCTATATTTATAATCTACAAATTACACTCCTTGCTATTCTTACAAATTTAAGGACTCTAATCTTGAATGGTCATCTTAAAAGATATACTAAAGAAAAACAGAAATAAATATTTTGTAAGAAATTAGTTAGATAAAATATTCAGTAAAATGACAAACCACTATATCAATTTTACATATAAGTAATATATGCACTATGGTTCAATTACAATATTACCATAGCACAATTGCATAGTATAGTTAAGAGTGAAAACTTAAAAAAGCAGATCAACTAAGATTTAACATTGATCAGGGAATTAAAATTAGAAATATGTACAAATTTTACAACCGGTTTCAACAAATCATCTCAAAAAATACACACCATATATACTAACAACATTTATCATTGACATTGGCTTTAATAATCAAACATCAATAGTTTTTTTCTGTTCCTTGTTTCTTTCTTTCTCCAAAAAGATACATTAATTCATGTTAAAGAAAAGAATAATTCACAACTAAATTGATTTTCACTTTTATTAATAAGACAACAAAACTAAAGTCAAATTTTAAGCGGTTTCCTAGAATAACTCCACCATCAGTTTAAGTACGTAATATAAATTGGGAAAAAAAGAAAAAAAACAGAACAGATGTTTTAATTTTATTCACAAGGCATTCGGGAAAAATTAATCACTGAGATCATGAAAATAAATAAAGTGAACTAATAAAGATATAGATATTTTTTAAGTATCTAATCTTCACTAAAATATTGAAGCTTTTCAAGTTTATATTGAATAATGTCTTAGCGAAAAAATCATTATTGTATTACATATATATGCACAATAGTTTCGTGATTTTATCCAATAAGCGGATAAAGATTTTTCAAAACTTAAAATATAGTTGCTTATGACTTAGGTTATTTTTACATTTTCTTTAAAACCTCTAAAAAATAAAGTTTAATTTATAGGTGGATAAATGAAACTTCGCTTAGTTTCACCTTGTCATCCATCATCAGTATAAATGCTTACAGATTTATTTCAGTAAATGAATAAATTTATTCAATACTTTACTTTATTTACTGATCTATATAAAGTTGTAGAGATTGTTGAATTTTAATTGAGATCATGAACCGATCAATGTTAAACCATAATTGAAAAGCTGAAATATTTCTATTCATTTTTATTATAACATTAAATACATTATTATAATTATAAACTAAACAAATCTAAGTAGGTTATCTATTCTCTTCATTAAATTATTCATTAATTTCATCAAATCAGTTCAATATACTAGATTCACTGAGAAAGATGAAAATGCAGTTGAAACTAACTATCAGTATAGAGTTTTTTAAACTAAATATGCATTGTACATTAAAGGAAGCAAAACTTAACGTTCATTCACCAAAATAATCAGTAGGATTATAAATGACCCATTTAATATTCAAACGACAGCAAGCCTGTTTCAATGTTAAGCTTCTAAAGACTTTCATCATCCATGTTGCACTTATTTACTGATCAGTTTGGTTTTAAGTTCATCAGCACGACTGCTGTAGACTAGTTAAAATTTTGTTATTGTGACCGAGTGTTTAAAGTTTACTGTTTACTTTGTTTAAACATTTGACAAATTACAATTTGGTGCTTAATACTGTAAGGCTTATGTTATCCGTTATGTTTTAAACGTTCAATAATTGTTAATAATAAATATATTTTCGTTATATCCAAATAAGTAGAAAAATTGTATTTCTTGAGTTTCGTGACTTAATGTAAGCCACTTCGTCAGAGTACATGTATATAACACTTAAAATGTAATAAAAACATCAAGAATTATTTTATTCATTAAATAATTTGAAAAAATAATGAGAACAAAGGGAATACATAGATGTATGAGCTGTTTGTATCTTAAGGAAATGCTTAATTTCAACCTAATTTTAATTATTCCTCTGATAATGAAAAATGTATGGACAAAGTTTTCATCATAAGACCTCCAAAGAAAGTTTACCACAGTCATACAAATAGGATATATATTCATATAAAGCAGTAATTATTTCATTTATTTCATTTTCTGAAATATGGGGTGTATTACTTGCTAAATATGGGTCGTTTGATGTATTTAAAAGATTTACTTGATATTTTGTTCCAAGCAATGAAGTAACTGGTTAATAAAACAACTAGTGATGATAAAACTAGTGTTGGGGCAAGTCTGTAATTTATGGACAAACCACTCAAAATCAAGACGAAGATACTCGAATTTCGGCCCGAAATTCACTCATCCATATAACTAAATAGTATTTTGTCATTACGGATTATGTCAATTCATGGTGAAAACTCTAACTCCTGATCACGATTGCTCACAATAATTAATGATCTTATTATGACACTGGTAAATGGTTAAAGCTTTCTAAGATCACTATAGGATCGCTCGAATGTCGTCCATAAATTATAGTCTCAGTAATGTTAGTCTCAGAGTATAGGCTTTTTTCTATGGTAAATGTATAGGGTCAGTGAACTCCAGTCCAATTATTCCTCAAGGTGAACACAATCATGCCTTAGAAAACTGATTGCTAAACAATGAACGGTTTTCCGAAGTTCGTAAAATGGATGGACGAATGATGCGAATGCATCATTCAATGAAACATTTCCAGTATATGTGGTAGAGTAGTCCCAGTTTATATACATTAGTACCTGTTAATCTATTCTATTAATAAACGTTTAACTGGTTCTATGAGTTCTCTAAAAGCCTTAAACAAACATAATATCTCTACCACAAGGTAAGAGTTGGTTGGGCTAGTAAATCGTTACATAGTAGTGCTTCAACGTGAGATTACTTACGTCAAGCAGTCACATCATCACAATCAATTATCGAAGATCGTTAACTGAGCAATATAACTAAGATTCATAATATCGATTTAGCCTTCACGCCTACAAATGCAGCTACATGAAAATATTTCGAATTGCCAGAGAAAAATGTAAGTTGTGATAATGAATGCCACTGAAAAAGTGATTTTGAGAGTACTTGTAGATTTGCTTAACATTTGAGATAACTTTGGAAAAATTGTTTTACTACTTCCAACTACTAAGTAGCACATGTCCCTAACAAAAATCTTTCAGTCCATGATCTGATGATGTACAAAACGAACAGAAATTAGTCTGTTTGATAAAATCGGTGACACTTCAAGTTTCCAAAAAACTCATTTATATTCAAAGTTGTCAGATAAGTATTTATTGTTAAATATTCTCTAAAAGTATATATTTCTATTTTTACTGAGATCACGAACTGATCTAAGTTAGACAACTTCTGGAAGCCTGAGAACACTGGATTGTCATTTTGTCTTAAAGTGGGACTCTTCAGCAGTGTGCATACACAACCTCAGAACTGATGTCAGACTCAGGCCTTCAGTGTCGCGAGCGAAATTCTAATCTCTAGACCACCAAGTCAAACTCAAAGCATACAAGTTTAACTTCAATCACTCGAATATGCTGGGCGACTATGGTTGTCTAACTTAGATTGGTTTGTGATCTTAATAAAACTTAAAAATCTCCACAAATTCATAATGAGATGTTGTTCTGATAGTGTAGTGATAAGATGAAGTTAATCCGAAAAGTGTGATTTGTTTTCGCTAAATATTTCGAAAAATTTGGTTACACATATACCTGTTAACTTATTTATATACGAAGAAATACTGAGGATAAAGTAAATATATAAAGTGAAAAGTGAAAGTATATGAGAGAAGAAAGAAATATAACATGTAAACAGTACGAAGTTGAGATAGTTTAAAAGATTTGTAGCTTAGGTGGATGATTTTGGTGGAGATTTCCGGTGAATAGTTTTTATACAACATTTTGAAAGTTGTACTATGGACAATTCTATGCCACGTTTCAATCGTGCATTCTGTTAATTTCCTTGTGTGAGGAAGTTGTAAGTTACCCTGAATCCTAAGAAAGTAACACAGTTTCTGGTTGACATCTATGATTCTAACAATAACTTTCAATTGTAACTATAACATTGGTAAATTAAAAATTATATCTTAGCCAACAGGGGATATGATCATTTCTATCAGAGCTATCTAATAAACTAACTTTCATTTAAATCATTAATCCCTCAAAAAATAAAAAGCGTTAGTGAAACAACCTTATGATAGCTGTCATCACCATGTCATTATGATTATCGGTGTTTTTTGAGCATATATGATCTACTCCATTTGCAAACTGTCAATAATTAGAAGTTAATACTCTGTAATAAACACACAATGTCACATATACAAATCTTATCGTGAATTTTTTAGGCATTAACCATACAATCAAATAAAAAATCAGAAACTTTACTATTAATAAAGTGTTAATCATAAAAATGTCTGATGATATGTCATTGAAAACCGACATTATACACAAGTTAATTCAATATTATTGATGGTAAAACAATTCTTGAAACAAAAAAGAAATTTTAATGCAATTTTGTAGAAATAAATTTTTCAAAAAGCTCCCTCAAAATGTATTTGTGAATAAGTAGGCTTTATTATCCAGTCCATTACTATTATCAATATTATTGTTATTATTATCACTATGGTTGAGTTTTTGAAAACAGTAACAATAAATATGCTTTGTAATTTGACAAAAATAGTAATCGTGATTTATATGTATCCATGCCAAAATATGAAAATGTCATACAAACGTTTGCATAACACACAACAAAAAATATACTCATACGACTCATTGAATATTTTGACAATTATGAAAGAAAACCAAAACACATGGAAAAGATTTTCTAGATTGTTTTAAAATGTAGATAAATAATTATATGCTCATTAAGCGTATAAACAAATTGATTCAATTTGAAGTTAGGCTCATTCATAAAACAATACTAACTTATGAAGTATTGTAAGCTAAAAGATACTAGTTTTCGGTGATACTTTAACTGATATCAGATTACCAAAGCGGTTTGTAGAGATTTTTAAATTTTCTTGTTTAGAGTGCAGACTGATAACTGAAAACTAGGGTGTATTGGTCCACTGCTCCTAGTCAATCATAATTCATATGATCACTGAATTGATTTTATGATATCCTACATCATTATTTACGGAAATAATTTTTAAGCCATTGAATTATAAAACAATATTCAATCAGTATTTCGTTTTCATCCGTTATGCATGGTTGTTTTCGAAACCTTAGATAGAGATTGATGTGAATATATATGTAAGGGGATATACACATCTAAACTGTTTGATAAGGTTACCAGATTGTTCAGAACAATGAATACATTCTAATAAATATTACAGAACAATTAATATTGAATAACGTTTGTTGTCATTCGTTATTTTTCGAGAAATTGAAAAGTATGTCATCGATATAATACACAGGCAAGATGGATATCCAGTTGAATACAAACTCATTATACCCTCTCATTTTCTAAATAACCTCAAATGACACTATACCATGTTACGAAGTAGTCAAAATAATAAAAAAAACTTCAGAAGAGAAATAATGAAAGCGAAAACTGATGTGTGTAGGAAGTAGGATAGATTTCTTATACATCTTATAATGCAGTAATCTGGACATCAGTAAAATTGTAAGATATTTTCGGTTACCAGATTATTCTGTCCGAGCTTTTGTTTGTTAATGATGAAGAATAAAATCTATCTCATGATAGAATTCTAATCTTCATTCAAGAGTTCAACGATGAAACACTATTTATTACATAAAAGTATTACTAATAATTATTCATTTTTATTTAAGAATCAAATTAATGCGAATTACTTACTTTATGTATGTTTCTTCCAAATCGATTTTTTCTTTTTTAGTTCGTAAAAGTTCATTTCGAAAATCATTTAGAACGATTTTAAACGGACTTAATAATTCTGGATAATTCTGTGATATTACACTTTCTAATTCACAAACACTACTGTATCTAGAAAAAAACAATCAGAAAACGAAATAAAGTAAGATAAAAAAACAAAAAGTGACTATTTAATAACTACATTAATAGAGTTTGTGTCATTAGCAAAATATACTACTAAATTTACACTATAAGTAGAAAGACACTACTGATACTACTAGACAACTGTCAAATGCATTCACTGATCAGACTGTTCAGCCTAATTTTCGCCATACAAAATAGTATTGAAATCCACTCTGAACAATGGAAGTTGAGATACTAGATTTCGATTGGCCTAATTTAGTCAAACATACTGAACCGATAAGTTGTAGCCAAACTCCTCATGTTGTTCAGCAGTCAATTAAGATATTTGTAGAGAAAGGATAACTGACTGATCAATAATCTGCTTCGTTATCGAATGTAAATGTATAAATTCCAAACCATCGAACCTGTAACCTGCATTTGACCTACAATATTCCATTGAAATTATTGGTGAAACATTACGATTTAGGAAATATATAGACTAAAATCTGAATTGTCCTCTTTCATTGCATTCAACACTTAATTTATTCTCTTGATTTTCAACCTCGATTATTCATTTGTTTTGTGTGCTACATTGATAATTACCTCCGCTTTAAAAATACTTACATCAATGGCTGTATCTCACTTCACTAACGAAAAGACAAGGATATTCAGTGTTTGATGACTGTTATGCTTGAGTGCACTCACTAGACTTCTCTTCATGCTTCTATTTTTCCTGGCTAACTTTAAATATATCCTCATCGTATCACTGATTGTTTATTGTAGGGATACTTATAGAGCAGTTAATCAATTTAAATAAAAATCTATCTAAATCAGCAAGCGCATATATGACGACAGATCTGTCACAGTAATTTTTGTTATTGCTCTATGTTCTCTATTTTTGTTCCGTTTCGTTTTACTCCCTAATTACAGATGATTAAAAGTAACTTATAACAATACTGGAATCGCTTTGCCAAAACTTACTTCTCAGATGATCAACTAAGAAAACACTGTTTCCCAACTACTTGCTTCACATAATTATTATAGTCATTCCTACAAATGTTCCATCAAAACAATCTCTAAATCACATCTTTTCAAACAATATACTAAGTTCTTTTTATGTTACGATTCTTTATGCAGCAACCTGACCATGCCTGTGAGCAGGCATGCATTCTGTAGTTATTTTCACAATATAATTTATGGGCGGTATCAATACCAAATTTGGAATTGATGGTTTCAAATAAATTGAGCATTAGGTATAAAGTTGATAAAAATATAATAATGATACTTTTGTGATATAAATATTATTAAAAACATATTAAAACGAAATTATTTATCTATGAATGAAAACTTAAGTGAAAGATCTTGGATTGGTACTGTAGTAATACCTTACCGCCAAGGTACAGCAGAACTACAACAGTTTTTGAAATCTTACAGGATTAAAGCCTTCGATAAAACATTCAACACTGTAAAACGGTCTAGTTAGAAATAAAGATACGATCCCATTTGCATTCACATAATATGGTATCAACAGCTCAAGTTGCGCCGATTGGAGGGTCGACTCGTGCCGAGGAACACTTCACTTACACAAAAAGACCTAAAAATCTTATAGAGCTGGACAATTTCCAAATTAAATCGGCAATAGCAGTATATGCTATTTTCAATAATCGGCAAATTGATATTAAAAATGTTGAAACGACTTCAGAAAGGTTTTTTCAGCTATATAGAGAGGTGACTAACCGAAGTATTTCATACAATGCTAAATCCCTCTGCTCTCAATAAAAAGGAAGGTCTGACTATCCATCTAACTTGAACGTTTTATTCAAACAATTACAGTTGACTCCATTCATTTTCAACACAGTCGACACACAAGCACACTGAAACTCTAACTACATTCCAGCATTTTGGAAATCATACATTTTTCATACCCACCAACATAAATACAAATAAACACAGTGATATCTCATACAGAATCATCATGACCAAAAGTAATATGACATTGACACACTCAGACCTATTGTGATTTTGATTGTCTTAAAATGTATTCCACTTTGTTTCTTTTGTACCATTTAAACTCATGTCAATTTATTTCGTTTGTTTATTTACTTATTTACTCCGAAGAAGTGGCTAATATTCGGTCATGAAGTCAGAAATACAAATTTCTACTGGTGAGTATATCCTAAAATACGATTATTTTATTATTATTTTAAACGACATAACTGAATCATAATATTTTGACTGAATATTGTAATACATCTCAGGCCTACAGGAGGTCAGTTACGGCCCCGATAGCTCAGTGGTAACGTCTCTGACTGTGACGCTGGGTGGCACGGGGTCGAATACATCAGTGAGCACCAGTTCCCTCAAGATTACAGGTACACTTTGCTGACGAGTGCCAAGTTGCATGAGACCTAGGTCCAGTGTTTCCTGTTGACTACCTCCAACCATCATCTTATCTCAACATAGTGCACGCAATGTCGAGTCACCTAAACTAGTGGCCACATTACAACTTGGTCGACAGGATTCGATCTGCACTAAGAAGGATCTGACGTATATGAAAGTGATCACCACCCAGTGATCAATCAATTGAATATTCTACACACAAACAACAGTATTAATTCTTCAATACTCGTGCACATAGTTATTTAGCAATAATATTATCATTTTAAAATTATTTAGCTAGGATTTGAGAATATATACCGTAAGGAAATTATCAACTCAGCCACCCAACTCACTCCAATAATTTTACCAATTAACATAACTGTTGTACAAATGATTTATCCGAGTACATAATAAATAAATGACTTGGAGATTGGTTAGAATAAGTAGAATAATGTAATAACTAAAAAGGTAATCTATCCGTGTTCACATCTTAGAAAGAAAATCATATCTCTAATATAAAATAAAGTGCGAAAAATCATTTAACTTTTTGTTACCATGATACATCATAGAAGAGTCAGTTGAAAAATTCACGTATCAAATTTTTGAATGAACAACTAATCAAATCATGGTATAACTTATATAATAATCTGATCTTGGCCAGTCATTATAAACCAGGAAACACTGGACAGCTGTCTTGTCGTAGTGTGTTACTACTCGGTTAAGATTAGTCCATTATGTGAACTATGAAATCGAACAGCTTCCACAAACCCTTCCCACAATAATGGTTAAAATAATGAAATTTGATTAGATAAACATAACTGAAAGAAAAAGACACGCATATTTTACAATAATTCACTTTTTAAGTAGATCTGCTTCAACCTTTACATTAATAAAACAGGAATATTTCTATGGATAAATGAAAATATTAAACCAATCAAAGCAATTTATGAGCCAACTGTCACAATGTAATAGGTAGCATAACTACAAATAATAGTTAGAAAGTATGGCTGCATATTAAGAAGACAAGTGTACTCGTAGGGGTAAGAATACTACAAATAATAAAAGTTCTAACCCATAGTCCAACATAGGAAGTACGTCAAAACTTGGATAAACAGATCTTTAAAAAACTCACCACTAAAAACATTCAAAATTCCGTAATAAGATAGTGAAGAATATAAAAGCAGGGAGTTGACAAACAAGAACAGAATGTGAAAAAATTAACAAAACTATTTATTTAGTAATATGTGTCAAACGAAGGGATAGAGGCATCACGGATTTTTTTGAACACATAAGTCAAGGTTACAGGTATGGATCTCCATTCAGTCCCTCTTAGTTTTCAGTGGTTGTTTAGCTAAGATCGGTTGTTGGTGTATATCAAAGGGTTACTCATCTCATCAACCCGTTTGTAAAAATAGTATTTTCATACACATAGTTCCCTTTATTATTTTAAAAAGAGCAAGAACAAAAGTTGGTGCAGAATAATATGAATTCATTTTATTTCGTTCATATTATTCTGCACCAACCTTTGTTCTTGCTCTTTTTAAAAAAAATAGTATTCACCAAGCTATACTACTCAATAGTTCTAGAGATTAAAGTGCCACCTGAGTTATTGAAGCACTTTTCCTGCTAAGAAATAAATCTGCTGTTCAGATCTCCTCTCCTCAAATAGTGTTTTTATCATCACTTCTTATGGTGCTAAGAAAAATACCTAGTAATCCATAAGTGATAGACGATGAAAACGTAGTTCAAACCTTTCTCTATACAAATTAATATCGGTTACATTTCGGTGGATTGGTATATTTTGCAAATGTTCATTTAACATTGCACTTTAAATCATATGAAAAGGTTACCCAAACTGATTGTTTTGAGTATTATTTTTTGTGTGCTACAATAATTTCAGTTTTGAACTATTTTGATCAATAAGATTTATGTCAGACAAATAAATGAAATTCAGTAGAACACCCTGGCAATCCTTTTATATCATAGAATGTTTAAAACACAATCAGTAGATAACATTCAGTTGACGTTTTTTGTATGAAATAACACTCACTAATCAAGTAATTCATCGGCATTGATTTCATTGGTTTTCCCTACAAAAATTATCAACTACATAGTACTAGTGTGTACAAGCCCATATCGCATCTAGAAAATGGGCGATTTACACATGAGTGGCTAAATTACCAACACATATGTAAACAGAATGGGTTTTGTGGAGATTTTTAGAAATTTCACAAGTTGAAATCATGAGCCAATTGAAGCTAGACCACCATGGAAAACCTGGAAGCACTGGACGGCCGTTTTGTCCTTGGTTGAAGTTAGACATTAACACCGTTGGATGCCGACTGGCTCAGTGGTCTAATGGTTAAGTGCTCGCGCGCGAAGCCAGTAGGTCCTGGGTTCGAGCCCCGCGTGGTGCGGGATCGTGGATGCGCACTGCTGAGGAGTCCCATACTAGGACGAAACGGCCGTCCAGTGCTTCCAGGTTTTCCATGGTGGTCTAGCTTCAACTGACTCATGATTTCAACTTGTGACATACATAAACGTCGGTGTGTATGAACAAAATAAATTTTATTTATGAAAAAAGATAATTTTGTTCTAACGGACCCAAAATCAGAATGTCTACTAGTTAG